AAAAAAAAAAAAAAAAAAGGTACCTATAATGAAGCCATGATCAATAGCTCTGTTCAAAGCCCAACCACCAATGCCCAAAACTATGACATACATGCAAAAGTTGAGGAACAGAAGGAGCCCTGCAACTGGTTTTAGCTGCTGATCACCAGCCATTATTATTATTATATTTATGCGAAAATCGACGAGACGAAGTTTCGACTTTCGACTGTCGAAATATGAAAACTTGTCTCTGTTTGAATGAAAATATGAATGTGTGTTTTGCTGATTGAGAGGGGATTTATAAGGGTTAATTAAGAATCTGAGTTTGGGGTTCTTTTCTTGCAAGTTTGTGTTATGTTAAAAGGGTTTCTGGAAGGGTTGTAAAGATTATAAATGCTTTGTGTTCATGGCAGGAAAAGGGAAAATTCCTTATTCTTTCTTGCCTGTTAGTCAATCTCTTATGTAAATTTATTCTATATTTTGATTTTGAATATTTAAATTATTCACCTTAGCTTCTTTAGGCTTTCTCTTGTATATTCTTTATCTAGTAAGAACAAAACCCTCATATTTAATTATTATTTGTTATACAAACTAAATGAAAAAAAAAAACTAATGTGTTGGATATACTTAGAGTGAGCTATTTATTCTTAAACTTCAACAAATGACAATAAATTCTTCTAGTTGAGGTTTTTGTTTTTTCTTTTGGATATCATTACATAAAGTTTTATACAAGTCCCATCATTCATAAGAAAACCATCTGATAGCTCCATAGAATTTTTGACGAAACTATTTTGAAACATGGAATTTTGTAATCCTTATGTTATACACGGATCTATTGGTTATGTTATACTTTCTCCCAATAAATATTCACACTTTCAATTATAATGTCATTCACTTTAATTAAAAAAATATAATGAAATTTTATAATATAAGTATGCATTATTTATAAATGTATAACAATTCGAGTCATTGAACAATTAGGTTGCCTCACATTTTACTTTTTTATAAATTTATAACGATTCGAATCATTCAATAGTTAGGGTGCCTCACATTCACGGATTTTCGATGTCTCTTATTTATTCATTCCCCCAAAAAAAACTTGCGTTTTTTGTTTTTAGAATCTAAATTGTTGCACCTAAAAAGTACGGGGGCGTCTACAGTGCCGTCCGACACCAACCCGTTGTTACAATTTTGGCCCTAGATGTTCAATACATATTTACTGCCGTTAGATTCTATGCAGGAACATTTTCTAACGGTGTGGGTTGAAACAGACAATAATAACAACTTTTAACTTTTAATTTTGTTTTAATTAATTAAATATTTTTCTCTTTCTTTGCCTTTTTGTGAATGTTTAATTTCATTTATTTTTCTTTTTCTTGGCTATGTCCCATATTAGTCATTTTTCAAATATTTAAATTGATGTGAAATCCGATTTTTTTATTTAAATAAAAAAAATTAAGTGGACAAAAATGAAATAAAAAAAAGTGTGGACTAAAATCGAAAAGTCGTATTGTGGCAATACGTTTTATATTGTAAAATGTATTCTGAGAATACGTTTTAGTTTGTAAACGTATTGTGAGAATACATTTTCTAATGAATTAAAATTATAAACCTTATTAAATTAAATAAAACGTGATTAAGTAAATTAAACGAAATTAAACGTAAAATGAAAATACGTTTACAAAACAACGTATAATGAAAGTACGTTTTATCAATAAAACGTATTTTCAATATAAATTTTTATTTAAAAAGAATTTATATACTATAAATATATAAAAAAATTGTAAATATATTATTTAGTAATTTTTTTAATGGAAAACGTATTATGAAAATACGGGTTCTTTTAAAAAAAATAAAAAATAAAAACGTATTATGAAAATACGTTTTACTGTACAGAAACAGCAATTGTGCAAAAGAAATAAAAAAATAACACACCTGTTTGTCGAAATCAATTCCACAACCAAATATTCAACAACCAAAATTCATCCAAAATATATCAATTCCACAAACTAAATTGAACCACAATAATTTATTCAAAATATCAATCAAACAGTCTGAGTTTAATTATACAAAATCAAGAAAAAAAAGAGTCCATAAATTTCCTAATAATTGCTAGGAGTGAATTGATCCGGAGGTCTGCGCTGTCGTGAGCCCATCCGACGTTGGTACATCTGTAAAGAAGACGAGGCTGTGGGCGTGGAAGCATTTTCTTCTGAATATGAATAATTGATATTTTAAGAAAATCAAAAATTATACTTGACAATGAATAAATAAATAATTTAATTAAGTAAAAAATTCTTACCTTATTCTTCTTGTCCCTCAGACACGGTGTTGGGAGGCACGATGTCGGCAGGCATGATGTCGGCAGGCATGGTGTTCGCGCAGGGAAGAAGAAGAAAGTTTTTGTTATATATTGTTAGAGTTTAAAACGGATTCTGAGAATCCGTTTTCTAAAAAAAAAAAAAATAGCACGCGGCTCCCAGATTGGGTACTCAAACTCGGGGCAATGGGTGAGTCCGGTTTCTCTGGGCGCGCCTCATACCATTATGCCGCACTAGGCTGTCGCTGTTATGTTTGCACAAGTTTTATTCTTATACTTCAATATCAATATTTTTTATAACATATAAAATTATATTACATACTATATTAAATTATATCTATAATATATAGTATATTGTACTATACTATATTATATTATAAAATATTGTATACTATATGTATATTACATACTATACTATATTAAAATATAAACTTATATTACATACTATATTATATTATAAAATTATATTACAACTATATTATATCATATAATATATACTACATACTATAATATATTATATAATATAATATAGTATATAATATAATATATAGTATAGTATGTTATATAGTTTGTATATAATATAATATACTAGTATATAGTATATAATATAATATACGGTATATAGTCAATTTCCAACAATTGAAGTCAAATTAGTACGATTGAAGTCAAATTAGCAAAATTTAAGTCAAATTAGTACGATTGAAGTCAAATTAGTACGATTGAAGTCAAATTATTACAATTGAAGTCAAATTATTACAATTGAGGTCAAATTAGTACGATTGAAGTCAAATTAGTTCGATTGAAGTCAAATTAGCACGACAGAAGTCAAATTAGTTCGATTGGCAAATTACACACAAAATTTCAATCCTCAATTCAACATACACACATAATTGATAATCAATTAACAATTTTCAATCTTCAAACACAACCACATCCAAACATATTATAACAATTCTCATTCTCAAAACAACTCAAACAATGTAAAAAGTTAAGATAAGCAAATATACCTCGTAGGAATGAATTAACCGAAAATGACGCTCGTATCGGTATTCTCGATTCACACCGAGCTCAAGATTGTATCGAGTTTTTTTTTTTTTT